CCCGGGAAGAACCAGCAACAAACCCGGGGAGGGCCGAGCAGACGAAAGAACAGCGCAGGGTCCTGTGTCATTCCTCCACGAAGAGGGGGAGCGACAGAGGACCACTGTCACATTTTGTAACAGGGTTTCTGGAACCTTCCGTGTGGTGCGGTTTTGGCCAGGGCCTTCTGTGCACTGAGGCGTGGGTAGCAGCAGCCCACTACCATCCCCAAGCACCACCCGGTGTCCCACAGGTGGCAAAGACCACCCCTGCTGAGCCCACGGACCCGACGCGTCCCGGCCCGTATGCTGTTTTGCTCCAGATTCCAAAGGCTTCTTTCGGTCTTGCAAAGACAAGCCGTGGGCACAGGATCTGGGGAGCACTGGTTTCCTGGTCTGCCCCAGAGCCGCCCCGTGGACAGCCTCTGAGTCCTCCCTCCCTGTGCCTCCCCGTCACCCGGATATGATCGCTGGTGGGGGATTTTAATTAACCTCTGGTGCTCACAGGGTCAGATGCTTCCGGTTCCCACTGCCAGGCCTTTGCGTGCAAGGAGCCCTGGCAGCAGGGAGCACACAGGGTCCTCCCTGAGAGGACCCTCCCTCTGGCCAAGGCCATTCTCTCTGAGCACGACCACGGGGCTGATCCCACCCAGAATGAAGGGCAAAGGCCCAGCTGGAGGCGGCGGGTTCTGGCCCTGCCACACGGAGCTGCAGCAGCAGGTGGCTCTGCAGTGGCCCTCACACTGTGTCTGCAGGCACGCAGTGGGCGTGGACACCAGACGATAAACTGTGAGCCGTGCGGCCCAGCCTTAGCCTCCATGACTGGCACCTGAGTGCCTCTGGCAGCGCGAGGCTGAGCGAGGGCAGCCCCTCCTCCCAAATCACTGGGGTGGGGTGGGCAGGTCTCCACGGGGGGCCCAAGGGATGCTGACAGGTGGCGGACCTGCTCTGTGGGTCAGCACTGTGCAGGGTAGGTTCTATGGGATATAAGTTATATTTAATGAAGCTCCTTAGAAAATATTAGAAGGGAAAGAACATTGCATAGAGTCGCTGGCAGATCCTCTCCAAACCGGCGCTTACAAAGGCAGTTCTGCTCCAAGACCCAGAAAATCCTCCCAGAAGCCCCAGAGCGAACATGGACGCCCAGAAACACCCAAGAGCAACCACGCTCAACTTAGAAGACAAACTTCCTTCGGGTTAGGATTGACTTCCGGCCTGTGCATGGTCAGGGAAAAGGAAGTGGACTTCCCCCGAGCTCTGTGATTGGCTCCCAGGATGCAGCAGGGGGCAGGACTTCCTGCTCAGGGGCCGAATGAGCTCGTCCCATCTTTAACAGGAGGTGGCTCAGCCGTCTTATGAGACCTGCTGACAGCACCTGGCCTGCCCTCAGACACTGCCTTCCTAGTTCGGGGGTGGGGCTGAGGTACAACCCCACCCCCCAGGCCGCCCGGGGTATTGTGGGTATATGCGGCCATGGTGAGAGGTAGCCAATGGGCGCTCGGCTCTCAGTGACTCTGTCTCCCGCACCCTGTGGTTTCTGAGGCGCTGGGAGGAATCTTTCGCTCACCGGGTGGCGTCTGCTCTCGGCTCTGGGACAGCTCCAGAGCCGGCGGGGGAGAGGCCGTATCCTCGTCTCCCACGCGGGAGAGGTTGATGGTGGGGTCTGCAAAGCCTGAGGAGCCACGTCACGCTGGGCCCTCCTTGCTCGCGCGTGGACCTTCCAGCCCCGACCTGCGAGAGGGGACAAGGGCTTCAGTGGTCACAACGCGCCCACCGCAGGAAGCGCCTGGGAAATCCAGCCCAGGGCTCGGGGGCATTCCTCCTGCGGGGTGGGATTCAGTGGCTCCCCTGGCGCTGGCATCCTCTCCCTCCTTGTGGCCGCTTGATTCTGTGTGAGAGATGCCCGTCCAGTCCCGCTCCCCTCTGTAGCAGGGTCTGTTCTCTCCATGAGAGATGCCCGTCTGGTCCCTCTCCCCTCTGTAGCAGGAGCTGTTCTCTGCGTGCAGCAGACGAAACCCTGTCTGGCAGTTACAGGGTGACCTGAGGGACGCGGGCCATCACAGGAAGAGCGAACACTGCATGGTTCTGAGAACTGACAATGAAACAAAAAATGACCTACATGAAGGATCTCTGTGGGTGAGATCCTGGTGGAAAGAAGGGACCATCAAAGAAGGATGCGCCTTTCTCTGAAGGGAGGAGAGAACTCCCACTTTGCTCATGGCCCTGTCTAAATACAGACCGTTTTTGTGGACTCAAAAGGCTTTATTTAAATAAAAAAAGAAAGATTATTTATTTATTTAAAGTCAGAGTTACATGGATATTGAAGGAGAGGCAGAGAGAGAGGTCTTCCATCCACTGGTGCCCAATTGGCTGCAGTGGCTGGAGCTGCACTGATCTGAAATCAAGAGCCAGGAGCTTCTTCTGGTCTTCCATGCAGGTGCAGGGCCCAAGCACTTGGGCCATCTTCTACTGCTTTCCCAGGCCCTGGCAGAGAGCTGGATCAGAAGTGGAGTAGCCGGGATTCGAACTGATACCTATATGGAATGCCGGCACTTCAGGCAGTGGCCTAACCCACTATGCCACAGCGCCGGCCTCCAAAAGGCTCTCATAGCCAAGGCAGCTCATGTCAACAGCTCCGGATGATCACTGACATCATACATAAGAATGTTAATTGTTAAATCAACAACAGGAATCTCTGTGCACTGACTCCCCATGCAGGACCTCTGATCTTCATGAGTTGTATTATAAAAATTAACTGTAAAACTAGTTCTCCACACTGTGTGTGCATGTGTGTGTGTGTGCAAATTGTTGAAATATTTATTTAGTATAGAGTTGGTCTTAGTGTAAAATTGATTGGAGAGACTGGCGCTGTGGCACAGCAGTTTAACACCCTGGACGGAAGCGCCGGCATCCTATATGGGCTCGGGTTCAAGTCCCGGCTGCTCCACTTCTGATCCAGCTCTCTGCTATGGCCTGGGAACTAAGTAGAAGATGGCCCGAGTGCTTGGGCCCCAGCACCCATTTGGGAGACCTAGAGGAAGCTCCTGGCTCCTTCCTTCAGATCGGAGCGGCTCCAGCTCTTGTGGCCAATTGGGCAGTGAACCAGTGAATGGAAGACCTCTCGCTCTGTCTCTCTCTGCTTCTCCTTCTCTCTGTGTGTAACTCTGACTTTCAACTAAATACATAAATCTTTAAAAAAATAAATTTGATAGAAAATAAATCTTAGTGGAGAATGGGACTGGGAGTGGGAGAGGGTAGAGGAGGAGGAGTGAGAGTGTGGGAGGAATCTCTCTATTCATAAAGTTGTACTTATGAAATTTGTATTCATTAAAGGAAAGGTTTCTTTGGGAGAAAAATAATAATTGAACCTGGGCTGGCGTTGTGACTCAGCGAGTGAAGGTGCTGCCTGAGACACCAGCATCCCACATGGGAGCACGGGTTCGAGTCCCAGCTGCTCCACAGCAAGCCAGTTCCCGGCTGATGCACTTGAGAAAGCAGCGGGAGAAGTCCATGTCTTGGGCACCTGCACCCATGTGGAAACCTGGATGGAGTTCCAAGCCCCTGACTACAGCTTGGTCTACCATAACCACTGCAGCCATCTGGGGAGTGGACCAGTGTATGGAAGACTACATCTCCCCACCCCGCTCCGGTACTCTGCCTTTCAAATATATAGATAAATAAATCTTTAATAAATAAATAAAAGGAACTGAATTCATGGGAATAGGAAGTTGTAGTAAATCCACCCACATGTCCTGTACTGGTGGGGATTGGCTCTAGGAACCCTGTGCCAGGTGAGTCTGGTCATGGGACATCAAGGAGTCCCGGCACACAACTGCATGATGGCAGCTACTTCACTCTGGGCTCTGAACTCCGCCGTTCACTCCTGGGCTGGGAACGGCAGAGCTCGTTGCTGTTTTCCTATGAGAATATCCACCGGGGGCCGGGCGTCCTCCTGCAGTGGTGCAGACCTGCGTATCTAGGACTCTGCCCCCAGAAGCCGTGCAGCAAGAGTGCGATGAGGTCGGCAGCGGTCAGCTTCATTAGAATGTTGGGGGCGCCGGCGTACAGGCGACTGTGGCTGACCAAAACGTGCCCTGACACCTGACGATGCCGTGACTCGGTAATCCAACATTCTCCCTCAATCTAAACGCCAGGCTGCAAAGCTTCATGGGAATTCCTCACACATTTATTCAGGTAGGAAACACACATACACATGCATGCCCACACACTCCCAAATTTACATACACTGTTCCCGAGGACAGGAAAAAAGAACGTTCTATCAGGCAAGGAGAGAGTGCTATCAAAACCAGAGACGGAAACAGTCATATGGGGAAATCCTGGGACGGATGCTCCCGTAAACTTAGACTCCCAAGAAAACTCTCACAAAGATACTCGTTCCTATAAGAAGAGAGAATGCAGGGGACACGACCACACCGGTTGGTTGTCGGTGGTGAAGGCAGGCACCGGTCGCTTGATACTAAAGAATCGATGGCGTTCAGTACATTACCAGAAGAAACAGCTCATCAGACACAGACAAAGCTGTTTTTGTCTGAGAGATTTTGCATCCACCTCTCAGTCATCACATCTTCTCTCCGGAACGTCAATTCAAGTGCTTTGCCCACTGCTCAAATGGGGGCTTTTGTGTTTCTATGTAAATCACGAGTTTTGTTTCACTCCAGGCTGCTGGAGGTCTGGGCTCTGCTAAGTGGAGCTGTGTGGATCTCCCTTGGAGCGCTGACGGGAGTTCGTGTGTGGACCGCGATCTTGTGACCTGATGGTGACCAGTGAGGGCAGCTTCCGGTTGAGATGTTGGGTTGTCTTTAGGTAAGATGACGTCATCAGCAAAGAGAGGTAGTCTTAGCTAAGAAGATAACGTCATCAGGAGAGAGCCGACGTGGCTTCTTCCTTCCCAATTCGGACGCTTCTGCGGCTTCTTCTCGCCCACCTGCTCTGGCGAGGACTTGCAGGGCCGCGCAGAGCAGCAGTCAGGGTTCACGTTTCCTACAAGGTCTGCACTCTTCCTCCACGGATACAGCGGCAAAGCAGCGCGCACTCCCCTCAGTGACGTCTGAGCACAGCATGTCAGCGTGCGCCTGCGCACTCACGTGTCGTCGTGTGTGCAGTATCCTGTCATCATGCGCGTGTGCAGTCCTGTCTTGTGCGCCTGTACAGTCACATGTTGAGCTGTGTCCGCGAGGCCAGTGGTGGTGTGCGCCTGCGCAATCCCTTGTTGACGTGCGCATGCGCAGTCCAGAGTCGGTGTGCATCTGCACGAGGCCGCCTCAGGTGAGTCCGTGTGCACCCACACGGGGAAGCTGAGGCTCAGGGCAGAGGGGTGTGTGAGGGGACGCAGTGAGGGCGCCTCCCCCGGGAGTCAGGGCAGGCGGCAGGGAGGGGCGGCGCAGGTCCTGGGAGGCCTCAGGGCCCCGCAGCGGGGTGGTCGGGTCAGGGGAAGCTGTGGCTGAGGGGCGTGGGAGCGGCGTCCGCGGCGGAGGGGGCGTCCGGGCCTCCCCCGCCCTGGGTCGGGCCCCGGGACCTCCGGGCCGGGCGGGAGCGGGGCTGTGCCCACCTGCGTCCTCCGGAAGTGGCCGGGCTGCGACCCCACAGGAGGGGCTGAGGGCGGGGACGACCCCACCCCGGGGCGCATCAGCCCACCTGAGGGGCGGCTCCGGGAGGCCCGTGTCCTTGGTGCTGGGTCCTGGCCCTGGGAGAGGAGGGCGGAGCCGGCTGACAGGGCGGGGCGGGCCCCATCCCTGCAGGGCGCCTGTGCCCCCATTCTGGGGACTGAGGGCCTGGCTGGGGTGGGGGCGGTGCCCCTTCCTGTGGGGCTGCGGGCTAAACAGCCCTGCGATGCTGGGAGGACCCGGCCTCCGAGCGTCCACACCCGGTGTGTGTCCGTGCGGTGGGCGCTGTGCCGGGGCTGGCAGAGAGGACGCCATGACCCTGCCCTCGTGGTCCTGCTCTGCCGGGGGAGACGGGAAGACGGGGAGGGGAGACCCTGCTCTGGGAGGGACCCCGCCCCCGCCCACAGCCAGGCCCTGCTCCCTGGAGACCCCAGGCTCAGGCGCCCCGGGGAGGAGAGGACGGGCACAGGGGCAGGGGAAACCCTCTCACGGGGAGCTCTCCTCCAGGGCTGTGCGGGCCCAGGACCCGAGTGCAGGCAGGTGAGCGTGCCCCCACTGTGCCGGGTCCCCCACCCCCACCCCATGGGACAAGGGCCACCCCGGGCAGCTGGGGTGGGGACAGCAGCCCTGTCTGGTGAGGAGGGCGTCTGGGAGGGTCCTGGCCTGCGAGGGGACGTGGTCCTGGGACCCAGCCTCTGGTTTCCTTCCAGGGACCCTCCCCAGACCCAGCCTCCGGGCTGAGCCAGGCTCTGTGATCGCCCTGGGCAGGCCTGGGGCCCTGTGGTGTTGGGGACCCTGGAGGCCCAGGAGTGCCGTCTGTATAGGGAGGGAATTCCAGAGCCCTGGGACACACAGATGCCCCTGGAGCCCGGAAACAAGGCCACGTTCCCCACCCTCTCATGGCTGAGGTGTATGCGGGGCGCTACTGCTGTGTCTGCCTCAGCGCTGCTGGCTGCTCAGAGCCCAGTGCCGCCCTGGAGCTGGGGTGACAGTGAGGAAGCCACACCTGAGCAGGAGCTGGGTAGGTCACGGGGACGCTGAGAGGAGGCATAGATGGGAATTGGGTGCGGGGCCTGGGCTCCTGGGCCAGACACCCAGAGTGAGGGCGGTGGGACTGCAGGGCAGGAGGGAGAAGTGTGTGGGCGAGCCAGTGTGCAGCCCCGCCCCTCTTCCCTCCTGACCCAGCAGGCCCTCAGTGGTCCCTGCAGAGGGCCTGATGGGGTCACACAGGGACTCGGGGTCGGCCCAGCACCCTGGCCTGCAGCCCGGGCCAGGCTCTCACAGCCTGGATTTCAGGGTGGGCGAGGTCCATCCCACACGGGACGCTCACGGCCTCTCAGGCCCCGAGTCCTTCCCTGGGCTTGGGACGCCTTGCGTGTGGGGGCTCAGAAGGGTCACACGGAACCGTGCCCGGGAGTCTGACGGGCAGGTGTCTGGGCACTGCTTAGTGGCCGCTCTGAAACAAGCATGCTTTCTGTGGGGGTGCCGCTAGCCGTCATACGGCCACCCTCCAGGAGCCCCTGTGAGGTCTGTGATGCGGGCTGGGAAGAGACGCCCCCAGCTGCCTTCCGGGTGCCGGGGGCTCCTCCGTCAGGGCCCCGCTGTGCACCTCGGGTTCCTGCTGCGTAGTGATATGCAGGGAAGCAGAACTCCAAACTCCATGGAGCCAAGCAGTTACTTAGGGCAAAGGGGGACTGGAGCAGCTTAGTCAGTGTGGGGCATGTGATTGGAGGGATGACAATGGAGCTAGAAGAGTTCATGTGGGGCCGGCACTGTACACGCCACATTAAATCCCCAGCCTGCAGGGCCAACACCCCATGAGGGCGTGGCTTTGAGTCCCAGCTGCTTCACTTCTGCTCTAGCTCCCTGCTAATGCACCTGGGAAAGCAGCAGAAGGTGGTCCAAGTCCCTGGTCCCCTGCACCCACACGGGAGATGGGGAAGACGATCCTGCTCATGGCATAGCCCTGGCTCAGGCCTTTGTGGCCATTTGGGGCGTGAACCAGCAGATGAAAGACTTTCTCTCTCTCTCTCTCTCTCTCTCTCTCTCTCTGTCTTGGTCTCTATCTAGCTCTGTAACTCTTTCAAACAAATGATTTTTTTAAGAAAACTAAAGTTGTACATATTGTGAATGTACTAAAAGTCAGCAAACTATACACTTTAAAGGGCTGGTTTTATGTTATTTGAATTTCAGCACAATAAAGAAGGAAAACTATGTTTCTTGGAACTACCTTACAATCCAACAGTTCCTCTCCTGCATATATAATCACAGGGATTGAGGACAGGAACCCAAGCAGGTGTTTGCATCCACGGGTTCATAGCAGCCCTCATTCACATGAGCCCAAAGATGCCAGCAACCAGCATAAGTACAACAGATGAGTGCGTCCACAACAGGCGGTGTTTGTAGACACGGCTGATACTCTCCTGTTAGAAAAGAAGGAGGGTCTGGATAATCGTGGAGAAACCCTGAAGATATGACAATACAGAAATCAGCCGGTGTCACAGACACCATGGCTCTGATTCTGCTCTGAGAGGTGCCCGGGGGTGCGATTCAGAGGGCAGAACGTGGACTCGGGTGTGGGAGGGAGCAGTGCAGGTGCCTGCTGAGTGGGTCTGGGGTTTCTGTCTCCACTAATGAAGATGTTTGTGACAGGTGCTGGTGGGTACACGACACAGTGAACGTGAGAGGCAGCTACAGCCGTGAGTTAAATTTCTGTTAGGTCTGTAATCTGTGCTCTGTGAATTTCAGCTCGATTAAGAAGGAAGACACAATTAGCAAAAACATTTTTACCACCTATTTTTGCCTTTAAATGAACACATAATAATTTAGGAGGCGCAGCGTGGAATTCGAAGGTGTGCTCATCTCACCAGGGTGTTCCCATCTCGTCATGTCTTGTGTTTGAGGCCCCCAGCTCCTCTTGTCGAGTTGTTTACTAAAACACTCAACAGGGCTGGTGCTGTGGCTCACTTGGCTAATCCTTCGCCAGTGGCCACCGGCACCCCAGATTCTAGTCCCGGTTGGGGCACCATGTAGTAGTCCCGGTTGTTCCTCTTCCAGTCCACTCTCTGCTGTGGCCTGGGTGGCAGCAGTTTTTGACCCAAGTGCTTGGGTCCTGGCACCCACATGGGAGACCGGTAAGAAATACCAGCTCCTCGCTTCGAATCAGCTCAGCACTGGCTGTAGCAGCCATTAGGGGAGTGAACCAAAGGAAGGAAAACCTTTCTCTCTGTCTATCCCTCACTGTCTATAACTCTACTTGTCAAACACACACACACACACACACACACACACACCCCAGGTTATGTGAATGACAGTTGCCTCCTTGTGCTCTGCAGACTAGAGCCATTCCTTCTATGTGATTACACTTTGGGACCTGTGGACCAAACCTCCCTCCATCTCTCCCACAAGACCCTTTGATGCATTATTGATCACCATCCTACTGTGCTGCTACAAGATCAACTTTTCTAACTTCCGCATAGAAGAGAGAACTTACATTGGATTCCTGGGAAGGCGTATTTCACTTCATGTTCTCCGGTCCCACCCATTTCTCCACAAATGACTGGGTTTCATTAACACATTTTTTTTTTTTGACAGGCAGAGTTAGATAGTGAGAGAGAGAGAAAGAGAGAAAGGTTTTCCTTCCGTTGGTTCACTTCATTAATGGTTGCTACGGCCGGCGGGCTGCGCTGATCTGAAGCCAGAAGCCAGGTGCTTCCTCCTGGTCTCTCATGTGGGTGCAGGGCCTGAGAACTTGGGCCATCCTCCAGTGCCTTCCTGGACCTCAGCAGAGAGCTGGACTGGAAGAGGAGCAACCAGGACAGAATCTGGCACCCCAAACAGGACAAGAACTCGGGGTTCTGGCGCCGCAGGTGGAGGATTAGCCTAGTGAGGTGCGGCGCTGGCCTAACACTTTTTTACAACAGAATATAGAGTGGGAGTTGGGACAGCAGTTAAGTCCCTGATTGGGATGCCTGAATCCCACAGCAGAGTGCCTGGGTTAGGTCCAGATCTACCTCTGAGGTGGCTTCCATTACTGCACACCTAGGAGACAGGAAGTGGCTCAATGCTTGGTTCCTGCCTCCAGGAGGGAGATTGGCTGCAGCTCCAGGCTCCTGACAACCTAGAGCAGCTCTGGCTATTACCAGCATTTGGGTGGTGAACCAGCAAACAACAGATCTCTCCCTCTTTCTCTTCCTCTTTCAAACAAAATTATAAGTATTTTAAAATAAAATAACGATAGGCCTCTCATCTAAATTTATTTCTGCCCCTCCCATTCCCCAAGAACAGGAACAAATGGTTTCTCTCTGCTAGTCCACCAAACTCTACGCTGTATTTTCTTCCAAGGGGCTTTCCTATTCCTATCATATCTGCCGGACTAGGTTCTGTGATTGCCTGGAGTGGGAGTGTGAAGATCCTGTGCCAGGAAACCCCTGTATCTTCCTTGTCCCAACTGGAGATCTTGGGAAGCCACACACGAGGTGGTGGAGAAGGAACTGGGGTTGCAGAAGGAGGCTGATTCATCAGGACTACCATGGATACAACACTGCAGGTTGTTACCAGTGCCGACATAGGGAGGACTCCCACAGATGCAACAATGCACGGTGTTACCAGTGGCAACCTGGCATGGATTCACAGGATACAACACTGCAGGGTGTTACTAGTGAGACATAGCGAGGACTCCCACGGATACAACACCCCAGGTGTTACCAGTGCCCACAGAAGGAGCGTCACCTGGGCAGCCCCCAGTGTTGTCCTACAGTTGGTGGTGCTGGGTAAGGAGACAGCCAAGGTCTTCAGCCCTCATGTGGGAATTTTACCTGATTTTTAATAGACTTCTAGAATGGTTTTAGGGAACAAATGTGATGTTACCACATGGGGTTGCTATAGACCCTTCACACAGCTCCCCATTAGCATTGTAGGTTAATATGGCACATTTCTTCCCAGCTCCCTTAGCTCAACTAGTCCATGGTTTATTTAGATTTCCTGAGTTGGAAGCTAATCCTTTATCTTCTCTAAGATCTCACACTACCTCTGGTTCTCTCTGTCTCTTTAGACTCTCCAATTCCCTTGTTGGTGATGACTTTGATGACAGTTTTGAGGAACATGGACACAGACTTTCAAGGACGCCCCGCCCTGGGAAGCTGTGTGACAGGACTGGGTGATGGGTCACTACATAGAAGATGGGAGGAAAGAGCTGTCCCCAGCACAGCACAGCAGGGACCCAGAGGATCTACGAGCGTGGCTGCTGCTGCGGATCTGGGGCACCTGGTTCCCAAGGGTGCCTCACCCTTCCTCCCCAGCACTTTCTGCGTGGAAGGAAGACTACGTGCACCTGAAGAACCAAAGTGACTCCATTTACAGAAAATTAAATAAAAAGCAGCCTCCATTTCCCATAGCAGACCCGAGTCCTTGTAAAAGCAGGCATTCAGGCATTCCGGGGATATCAAAAGTTACCAAGGACAGCTCAGCAGACCAAAGGCAGCTCAGTAGAGATTACCAAATGAGGTAACTCCCTGAATCCAAAGCCAAACGGAGACACCCCCCCCCCCGAATAAGAAAAACCCAGAACAGCCCTGTCCTGTAAGCCCCGGCTGATGTAACCCTGTGGTTTTTTTCCTTTAAAAGTGCTCCTAAACAAAGGCCGGGGCCTTCCTCTGACCTACGCTGCGTCGTCTGGCCAGATGAATTCCTGCCATGTCTTGTACTTTTAAAATAAACCTTGCCTTTGCATTTCGGTGTGATCTGGTCGCTGATGGCTTCCTGGGGAGCTACTTATCTGGGCATAACACAACTCACGCCTAAGAAGTGGAGAGCCACACACCTGCTCTGGCCCAGCCTCCTCTGCAGCTCTACCCCAGGGAGGCCCAGGCTCCACTGCAGCTCTACCCCCATGTCTGCCCGCCTATGTATCTTGAGGGGGTGTCTGACACCCCTGCTAACCGGAAGAGTGCGTCTGCGGTTTCCAGAAGAAAAGTGCAGGGTCTCTGAGTTTCTGGAAGGGGGGTGTGCGGGGTTTCTGGAAGAGTGCTTCTAACTCCTCGGGTTTCCGGAGGAGAAGTGTGGGGTCTCTCAGTTTCCGGAAGTTGGTGTGTGGGGTCTCCAGAGAGCACCCGAGATTCCCAGGTCTCCGGAAGAGCGCGTTTGAACTCTGCAGGTCTCCGGAGGAGGGGACTGGGGTCTCTGGACCCCAGCAACCACACGCAGGGAGCCTGCACCTGCAGATCTGGAAGCAAAGTCCTGAAAACCCAACACCCGGGCCGGCGCTGCAGCTCACTAGGCTAATCCTCCACCTTGCGGCACCAGCACACCAGGTTCTAATCCCGGTCGGGGCGCCGGATTCTGTCCCGGTTGCCCCTCTTCCAGGCCAGCTCTCTGCTGTGGCCAGGGAATGCAGTGGAGGATGGCCCAAGTGCTTGGGCCCTGCACCCCATGGGAGACCAGGATAAGTACCTGGCTCCTGCCATCGGATCAGCGCGGTGCGCCGGCCACAGCGTACCGGCCGCGGCGGCCATTGGAGGGTGAACCAACGGCAAAAGAAGAGCTTTTCCTCTGTCTCTCTCACTGTCCACTCTGCCTGTCAAAAAAAAAAAAAATCAACACCCATGGCCTTCACGAGAGCACGAGGCTGAGTCTGACCAAGTGGGGGGGAACCTGCAAACCCACATTATCCACCAGAGAGCTGCCGTCTGCTGGGCACCCAGCCCCCAGGGGTACTGGGGGAGACCACAGAAAGGGAGCTGGGGCCACTCCATGGGGAGCAGAACCCACTGCAGCTGAACCCTCAACGAGAACACCGACCTCAGGAGGAAACAAAGGCCCCACGATACAAAGGGAGGCCAGGGTTCAATTCTCAGCTGCAGGTCTGGGCCCGGCTCCCTGCTCATGCAGGTCCTGGAGCCGTGGTCCTTGGTTGGGTAGCTGGGTTCCTGCCTCCTGTGTCGGGGCATGGATGGAGCTCCTGGCCCCTGGTGTTGGCCCTGGTTCAAACCGGCCATGATAGGCATTTGGGGAGTGAACCAGTGGATGGAGCTCGCTCACTCACACACTCACTCTTTCTCACAGCCTCCCAAATTTTCAGAATTTAAAAATAGAAGATCAGAATCTCATGTGAAACCAGAGGTGGACCCCCGCGCCACCCCGGGAGATTCCGTGGGGACATTGGCCTCATCCTCACAGGGGTTGACTCCATAATGATGGTCGGTGTTTGGAGAGAGTTTGTGTTGGGGGAGGTGGGGGGAGCCGGTCCCTGTGCCCCAGGACAAGAGAAGAAACCCAGTCTCAGGTGTGGACTCCCAGAGCTAGAGCGGCCCTGCCACGGTCCCTGACGCTGTCTCTGAAATCCAGCCACTGTCATCTCCCCCAAGGCGAGCACTCAGGGCCTTGGGGGCACAAGCCAGGGCAGGTGGGCGGGGCCTTGTTCGCCATCACTTCCAGGGAGCACAGAAAACCCGCCTTCCCGCCCCCACCCTCCCTCCTGCACCTGCAGGGAGATGGTCATGGTCCTCGCAGTTCTGTAACTCAGAAAGGAGACGGAGCCCGCGCTCCCTTTTCCGGACGGGGAAGGTGCTGTGCAGAGTCCCACGTCTCTCCACGGCTGCGAGGCGATAAAGCGGGGGACACGGAACCCCCGTTCCCTCCCTCGTCTCCCCTGCATGTGCACGGCAAGTGACCTCCCAGGGCCGCCCCGCGACTGCGCCCCTCGGTCTGATGCCCCCGTTCCGGAGCTGCAGATGCGCTGTGAACCCACGCGGGGTCTCTGCATTCACCTCCTGCAGCAGAGGAATTCACTCCCGGCTGCTGGAGGTCTGGGCTCTGCTAAGTGGAGCTGTGTGGATCTCCCTTGGAGCGCTGACGGGAGTTCGTGTGTGGACCGCGATCCTGCGACCTGATGGTGACCAGTGAGGGCAGTTTCTGGTTGAGACGTTGGGTTGTCTATAGGTCAGATGACGTCATCAGGAAAGAGGTAGTCTTAGGTAAGAAGGCCTCATGAGGAAAGAGCCGACATGGCTTCTTCCTTCCCAATTCGGACGCTTCTGTGGCTTCTTCTCGCCCACCTGCTCTGGCGAGGACTTGCAGGGCCGCGCAGAGCAGCAGTCAGGGTTCACGTTTCCTACAAGGACCTGCACTCTTCCTTCACAGAGAAGGAGGCAACCCTGAGCACAGTCCCCTCAGGAGGCGTCTGAGCGCCGCATGTCGGTGTGCACCTTTGCAGGCATGTGTAAGTGTGCGCCTGCGCAGTCACCTGTCGGTGTGCGTCTGCGAATCACGTGGCTGGCAGCGCCTGCGCACTCCAAAGTCCCTGTGCGTCTGCCCAGTCGCGTCATGATGCGCCTGCGCAGTCCAGAGTCGGTGTGCGAGTGCGCGAGGCCGCCTCAGGTGAGTCCGTGTCCGCCCACACGGGGAAGCTGAGGCTCAGGGCAGAGGGGTGTGTGAGGGGACGCAGTGAGGGCGCCTCCCCCGGGAGTCAGGGCAGGCGGCAGGGAGGGGGCGGCGCAGGTCCTGGGAGGCCTCAGGGCCCCGCAGCGGGGTGGTCGGGTCAGGGGAAGCTGTGGCTGAGGGGCGTGGGAGCGGCGTCCGCGGCGGAGGGGGCGTCCGGGCCTCCCCCGCCCTGGGTCGGGCCCCGGGACCTCCGGGCTGGGCGGGAGCGGGTCTGTGCCCACCTGCGTCCTCCGGAAGTGGCCGGGCTGCGACCCCACAGGAGGGGCTGAGGGCGGGGACGACCCCACCCCGGGGCGCATCAGCCCACCTGAGGGGCGGCTCCGGGAGGCCCGTGTCCTTGGTGCTGGGTCCTGGCCCTGGGAGAGGAGGGCGGAGCCGGCTGACAGGGCGGGGCGGGGCCCCATCCCTGCAGGGCGCCTGTGCCCCCATCCTGGGGACTGAGGGCCTGGCTGGGGTGGGGGCGGTGCCCCTTCCTGTGGGCTGTGGTCGGAACAGCCCTGCGATGCTGGGAGGACCCGGCCTCTGAGCGTCCACACCCGGTGTGTGTCCGTGCTGCGGTCGCTGTGCCGGGGCCGGCGGAGAGGACGCCATGACCCCCGCCCTCGTGGTCCTGCTCTGCCTGGGGAGACTGGAAGACTGGGAGGGGAGACCCTGCTCTGGGAGGGACCCCGCCCCGCCCACAGCCAGGCCCTGCTCCCTGGAGACCCCAGGCTCAGGAGCCCCGGGGAGGAGAGGACGGGCGCAGGGGCAGGGGAAACCTCTCACGGGGAGCTCTCCTCCAGGGCTGTGCGGGCCCCAGGACCCGAGTGCAGGCAGGTGAGCGTGCCCCCACTGTGCCGGGTCCCCCCAACCATGGGACAAGGGCCACCCCGGGCAGTTGGAGTGGGGACAGCAGCCCTGTCTGGTGAGGAGGGCGTCTGGGAGGGTCCTGGCCTGCAAGGGAACGGGGTCCTGGGACCCAGCCTCTGGTTTCCTTCCAGGGACCCTCCCCAGACCCAGCCTCTGGGCTGAGCCAGGCTCTGTGATCGCCCTGGGCAGGCCTGGGGCCCTGTGGTGTGGGGGACCCTGGAGGCCCAGGAGTGCCATTTGTATAGGGAGGGAATCCCAGAGCCCTGGGACAGAGCGATGCCCCTGGAGCCCAGAAACAAGGCCAATTCCCCACACTCTCATGGCCGAGGTGTACGCAGGGCGCTACTGCTGTGTCTGCCTCAGCGCTGCTGGCTGGTCAGAGCCCAGTGCCGCCCTGGAGCTGGGGTGACAGTGAGGAAGCCACACCTGAGCAGGAGCTGGGTAGGTCACGGGGACGCTGAGAGGAGGTGTAGATGGGAATTGGGTGCGGGGCCTGGGCTCCTGGGCCAGACACCCAGAGTGAGGGTGGTGGGACTGCAGGGCAGGAGGGAGAAGGGTGTGGGCAGAGCCAGCGTGCAGCCCCGCCCCTCTTCCCTCCTGACCCAGAAGGGCCCTCGGTGGTCCCCGCACCTCGTTGCTGGTGATGCAGCCCCCACACACGTGTCCCCGCCCCCATAGCAAACCCAACCACAGCCACGCCCAGTGCCCACGTGAACAATGGGGGTGTTGGCGGCCCCCTCATGGGCGGCTCCGTGCGGGGCAGGCAGCGGGGTCCCCAGAATGGACTCACGGCTTCTTCCTCCATTATGCACGGAAGGATGCACGTGGAGGCCTCGAGGGGTGCAGGAACGCAGGGTTCGTGAGTGCACCCCAGGATCAGGCCAGCTGGAGCGAGAGAAAGAGGTGAGTACAGAGGCACAACACACGCCATAGAGAAAACCCTCCATGGGGGCCTCAGCGATCCAGGTCATCCAGGGGAGGGGAGCACGCAACCTACAGGCCGCGGGAGACCAGGAAGTCCCGTGGTCAGGCCCTGCCACGGCAGCCACAGGCGACTCAAACTCAGGGAATTCTTTAAGCTGATGAGCAGGACGGGCCCGGAATGATGCTGCCAACATCCAAACGGCCCTTGGGAGAAACAACGTCCCCAGCCCCATCCTCCTCCCCACGCCTCATCTGCCAGCCAGAGGCAAAGTGCTCATTCTGGGGTGTGGCCTGATTGAATATTCAAAGTGGGTGGGGTTTGGGGTGGGGCTTGAGCACCACTCATTTCCAGGCTCTGTTTGGGAAAAAGAGGAAGTGTCAGGGAGTGGAGGTGCATGATGGGAGTGGGAGGACCCCTCACGGAAATTTCGTGGGATGACCCCATGGTCGTCCCGGGAGTGTCTTTAGGCGGCCCTCTTGGGTGTTTCCAGCTGGCGCAGGTATGCATGTACAACATGGTGGAATTTGTGCTTTCCTCATGGGAAGGCAGGGCCTGGTGGCTCTGGAGCTGTTTGTGCAGGCTTAGCCGAAGTGGCCAGATAGCCAATGGCTTGGATCTGACCAGCCGCCCACCCTCCTCCCACCTCAAGCTGACTGTGTCCCAGCCCGCCCACTGCCCACTGCCTGCTCCTGTCTCAGCGCCCCTGAGAGCCCAGAGAGGCCTGCCAGGCGGGGACACTGGGGCTCCGAGCAGCTCATCCCTGGATGCGGCTGGGCTTGTGCGGCCACTCCCCCCCACCCAGGAAGCCCCTCCCCCACACTCACCTGTTCTTGTGGATCCAGGCCCCTCTTTCTCCAACACAGCAACCTACAAAACCATAGGAGGGTTCTCCACCATCTGAATCTTTTTTGTTAAAGATGTGTTTGGAAGGCAGAGTTAGAGAGAGGCAGAGAGGAAGGTCTTCCATCCGCTGGTTCACCCCCCTAAATGGCTGCAACGGCCGGAGCTGGGCCGATCCAAAGCCAGGAGCCTGGAGCCGCTTCTGGTGCGGGGCCCAAGCACTGGGGTCACCTTCCACTGCTTCCCCGGCCATGGCAGGGGGCGGGATCGGAAGAGCAGCTCTGGACCAGGAAGCTGTGCCCATATGGGATGCCAGCGCACTACGCCACAGCGCCAGCCCCCACCACCCGAGTATTTGTCACAGCTCCCTGCAGGAGTCTTGGGCCCGGGAATTCCAGGAAGGATCCTGTCAGTTTCAGCCATGAAATGTCACACCTGGCACACGGCTACACATGGAGGCGCCCTGTGCCCGCTGGGGACGTGGTGCCCGGACACGGCAGGAAGGAAGTTGGCCCTTGCGAAACATCTGGCAGGAAATGTGCCTGGGGCTGGGATCCTGCATGCTGTGTGCACAGCAACTGAAGGCGGAGACAAGACACCCAGGGGCAGGAGTCAGCCCACTAGGAGGGCCACTAGGGAGGCCCCGTGTCCATGATGCTGGGTCCTGGCCCTGGGGAGAGGAGGGCGGAGCCCGCTGACAGGGCGGGGGCGGGGCCCCCATCCCTGCAGGGAGCCTGTGCCCCCCATCCTGGGGACTGAGGGCCTGGCTGGGGGTGAGGTGCGGTTTCCCTTCCTGTGGGGCTGCGGGTGGAACAGCCCTGCAATTCTGGGAGGACCCAGCCTCCAAGCTTCCACACCTGATGTGTGTCCGTGCCGTGGGCGCTGTGCCGGGGCCGGTCAGGAGACGCCATGAACCTGTCCTTCGTGGTCCTGCTCTGGGGAGACTGGAAGACAGGGTGAGGAGACCCTGCTCTGGGAGGGACCCCGCCCCTGCCCACTGCCAGGCCCTGCCCCTGGAGACCCCAAGCTCAGGAGCCCCGGGGAGGAGAGGACGGGGACAGGGGCAAACCTCTCACGGGGAGCTCTCCTCCAGGGCTGTGTGCAGGCCCCAGGACCCGAGTGCAGGCAGGTGAGCATGCCCCCACTGTGCTGGTCCCCCCTCCATGGGACAAGGGCCACCCTGGGCAGCTGGGGTGGGGACCAGCCCTGTCTGGTGAGGAGGGCGTCTGGGAGGGTCCTGGCTTGCGAGGGGACGTGGTCCTGGGACCCAGCCTCTGGTTTCCTTCCAGGGACCCTCCCCAGACCCAGCCTCCGGGCTGAGCCAGGCTCTGTGATCACCCTGGGCAGGCCTGGAGCCCTGTGGTGTCAGGGGACCCTGGAGGCCCAGGAGTGCCGTCTGTATAGAGAGAGAATCCCAGAGCCCTGGGACAGACAGATGCCCCTGGAGCCCAGAAACAAGGTCAAGTTCTCCATCCCTCTCATGGCTGAGGTGTACGCGCGGCGCTACCGCTGTGTCTGCCTCAGCGCTGCTGGCTGGTCAGAGCCCAGTGACACCCTGGAGCTGGGGTGTCAGGTGAGGGTCACCCAGGGTCCCTGCCCCACAGGCTGTGCCCTCAGGGAGGGGTCTGCTCCCAGGGGTCCCCCTCTCATAGCGCAGCCCTGGGGGTACCGTGGGGGGTGAGCCCTACTTCACATGACTGCTCCTCCTCTCCCAGGAGCCTACGGCAAGCCCAGCCTCTCGCCCCTGCCCAGCCCCGTGGTGAACTCAGGGGGCAATGTGACCCTCCAGTGCCGCTCCCAGCTGGGATTCCACAGGTTCATTCTGACAGAGGAAGGGGCGCCCTGGGCTGCCAGGACCCAGAGCTCAGAGCCACGCCCTAGTGCGCAGTCCCAGGCCCTGTTCCCTGTGGGCCCTGTGACTCCCAGTCGCAGGTGGGCATTCCAATGCTATGGCTCCTACAGGGAGAATCCTTCTGTGTGGTCAGAGCCCAGTGACGCCCTGGAGCTGGGGTGACAGGTGAGGAAGCCACAGCCTGAGCAGGAGCTGGGTAGGTCACGGAGACACTGAGAGGAGGCGTAGATGGGAACTGGGCAAGGGGCATGGGGCTCCTGGCCAGACACCCAGAGTGAGGGCGGTGGGACTGCAGGGCAGGAGGGATAGGGTGTGGGCGGAGCCAGTGTGCAGCCCCGCCCCTCTTCCCTCCTGACCCAGCAGGACCCTCAGTGGTTCCTGCAGAGGGCCTGACGGGGTCTGCCCAGCGCCCTGGCCGGCAGCCCCAGGCCGGCCTCCCACAGCGGGCGAGCATTGCAGAACTGGACAGGACCCACCCAGGACGGGCCTCACACCCCGGGGTGTCTATTAGAGTAGGACAGAGACTATCGAGCCTAGTGGGGCCTGGTCATGGCCCAGGGTGGGCCCGGGACCTGCTCCTGTAGGGAGAGGCTCGCCAGGCTTGGCTGCCACATGTCTCTCCCCTGCGGAGTTCCCTGGCGGCTCCAGAACACAGACAGAGTGATGTGTGGGCGACTTACACGAGGACCACGCTGAACTGCGTCGCGAGACGAGAGGCTGGGAAGCACACAGTGCGGAGCAGGCCGGGGTCTCCTTCTCCTCACTGTCCTGTGCCTGTTCTCAGGAGGACCAGAGCCCAGCAGCCCCTCGCACCCCCAGCAAGGCTCCCCCACTGGTGAGTGAGCTACAGGCCTGACCCAGGGCTCAGGCTGCTGCGGGGAGGTGGGGTCCTGGGTCACTGGGGCTGGCCAGCCTCGGTGACCCCTCCATGCACACCCCCAGCCCCAGCGCCCCAGGACCACACCCTGGAGAACCTCATCCGCATGGGCGAGGCGGGCTTGGTCCTGCTGGGCCTCGGGCTTCTGCTGGCGGAGGCTTGGTACAGCCACAGAAGGACCCGGGCTGCAGGCCGGCGGTGACCTGGAGAGAGGACAGAGCTGGGTCAGAGAGGCCAAGCCCTGGAGGCGGGGGAGGGGGGATCCGGGCATGCATGTTGAGAAGCTGTGGGAAGTGGGCGGAGCTAACCTGGGGTTGGGGGAATCCTGCTCAGGGGCAGGGACCCGGGTGGGCTGCTGGCGGTGCTGCTTCCCCGGGGCTCCCATGTGCATTCTGGGAAGGGGCTCCGGCCTCCTGCAGCCCTGCCCACCGCCCTGCAGGCTCCCGTGCGGTTCCGTCCTGTTCCTCTCCAGGGACCGCACACAGCTCAGTGGCCCTGAGTGTCCACAGGAGCCCGGGCCCTGCTGCCCACGGAGAGGGTAACGCCAGGATTTGCTCCCCTTGGCCTTCAGCAGGTGGGCCAGGATGTGGTGGGACACCTGTCACTCAAGATGGGTTTAAAATTCTGCTCACAAAAAGGAGGCCATGACAGGTGGGGCCAGAAGTGGGAGGTCAGAATCAATAGATCTGGGCTGGTGCTGTGGCTTAATGGATAAAAGCTGCTGCCTGAGGTGCCGGCATCCCCTGTGGGCGCCAGTTCAAGTCCTGGCTGCCCCACGTCCAATCCAGCTCTCTGCTGTGGCCTGGGAAAGCAGTAGAAGATGGCCCAAGAGTTTGGGCCCCTGCATCCATCTGGGAGACCCAGAAGAAGCTCCTGGCTCCTGGCTCCTGGCTCCTGGCCCCTGGCTCCTGGCTCCTGGCTCCTGGCTCCTGGCTGGAGATCAGACAAGCTCCAGCTGTGAGGACCCATTGGGATGAAACCAGCAGATGGATACCTCTCTCTCTCCTTCTCTCTGTAACTCTGATTTTTAAATAAATATTTTTAAAAACGTGTGGCTTATCAAACTCTAAGGTAAAATCCCAGATGACCGTGGGAATCCACCCTCTGAGAGGACCACACAGAAGTGAAAGAAAGTGTGTGCAGGGTTTCTTCAGGCACGGGAAGTTCAAGGGTCATCTGGATTTCTCAATGCACAACTAACGTAAACCCCACAACACGGCGGCTCTGGCGGACGGCAGCACCCGGTGTTCTGGAAGAGTGCGGATGCCTGCCCGGCTTCCTCTGGTGGCTGGTTACTCTGCTTGTCCGTGTAGTGCAAGTCTGCGTTTCCCACAGAGTTCAGGGAGGTGGGTTTGAGAGAGCGCTGTGGATTCTGCACCAGTGTTTCCAGTTATGGGCTGGGACCCCACCCCACCACAGCGTAGCTGAGGGAGTAAAGCCAACACCTGCAGCGCCGGCATCCCATATGACCACCAGTTCCAATCTCGGTTGCCCCACTTCTGATCCAGCTCCCTGCTAATGCCCTGGGAAGGCAGCAGAGGATGGCCCAAATGCTTGGGGCCCTGCACCCACGTGGGAGACCCAAAAGAAGCTCCTGGCTTCAGCCTGGCCCAGCCATCTGGGGAGTGAGCCAGAAGGTGGCAAATCTCTGTTGCTGTCTCTCCTCTCTGTCCCTACCTCTCGAATAAATAAATCAGAGTTTACAAAAAATTTTTAAACACTCCTAGAAGGAAATACCTGGGTAAATATGACCTCATCACAGCGTCTTAGCTGTGATTCTGAAAGTATGAGGAACAAACAGGAAAATGGCTGCATTGATCATCCTCAAAACTTCAGAACTCTGTGCACCGTGGACAGCTACGAAGGGAACAGAAAGACAAGAACACATTGTATGAAGATCTGGAAGCCACAGTAGGAAAAGCAAGGGTGCAACTCACTCAGCACAAGGGAAGGGAAGTGCAAATAATGCCAGAGAGAGGCACCCCCCACGCCACCTCACTGGTCACTTCTCGAAGACAAAGCAGGCAGAGTGTGGTCAGGGTGTGGGGAAATCGCAGCCCTGAGACGCGGCTGGAATGTGCAGGGTTCGGCCACTGCGGCAAGAGGCTCGTAGTTCCTCAAAGCACCAGACCCAGTGTAGGCACAGCACAGAGCAGCCCACCCCCTGCATGGAGTCAGGCGCTCGCATTGACCCACATCCTGGCAAGGGTCAGGGTCAGGCGCAGTGCTCACCAGTGTGCTGAGTGCAGGCTCCGTGGAGCGTTCTCACCACCGAGGGCCAGGGGGAGGCTGTGACAACCATCCAGGGACTGTGCACACAGGCATCTATCCAAGCACGGCCGGCCAGGGACAGGAGCCAGATGTGCACCGGGGATGGGGGCTCAGGGAGGTGGGTCTCTGGCTCCGTAGGAACTCTGCTGAGCCCCAGGAAGCCATAGAGTGAGGATGCGTGGGGCCTGGGGGCACAGCCACACACAAAGGCCCCACATAGCACCCTTCCCAGAAACACCCAGGGCTGGGAGCCCACAGAGCCCTGGGGCTGTGCAGGGCTGTGGAGGCCAGAGGGGGTCGTTGCATTTCTGCGGCTCTGCTGTGAACCCACTGCATGCACGCTTTGCCAGCTCCTGTTTCTGGGAGGGGGACTTCCTCTCACACAGACGCAGGGCTAAGGAAAGGACAGATGCCTGTCAGTGCCTTGCCACCCGAGGATGTGATGAGCCACCGTGCGTTCTCTCATGGGGCCCCCACGCCAGAGCTGGCAGCGGAGAGCCTGCCCTCTTACCTCCACCCGAAAACACGGCTGAAGTTGGGGTCTTCCATTCTGTCTGGGACCAGGGACCGCTTCTGATTCACCTCTGGGGTCGGCGGGCGCTCCTAGGGACTTCTGAGGAGGGGTGTCTACCAGAACGGTGCTGTCCCCACGTCTGAATCTGGAAGGGACACTGCAGGACCCTGAGACCGGAGTGCTGCAGCCACGGCCACCCAGAGGGGAGGTCTCGGGCATCCCCCCACCACAGAGATGCTGGGGGACGATGTCACCTGTTCAGGTCTCAGGAAGCGGCACCCCCATGTCATCCAGGAGCACGGAGCCCAGGTGCTCATACCAGGGGAGGAGAGGCCGTGGGGGGCTCAGGACACAGGTGCCGGGGATCCCCAGCCCCACGTGGAGTGTGGTTCCACACGAGCCCAGTTCCCTGCTCCAAGTCCCCCTCAATCAGAGAAACCCAGCACAGGGTGTGGGGCATGGGTCACCAGCTGGCCCGGGGCCAGGGTATCCCATGCTGTCAGTTCCCAGAGGAGCTCGGGGCCTGTGCTCCAAGACACCCTCCCTCCTCAAGCCCCTAGCAGGGACCCAAGCCAGCCAGCCACCACCAGGACCCCAACCCAGGCCCGTGTCCCCTGTTGTGGGCCCTCCTGCACCTGCCACAGCCACAGCTGGGCTGCAGCTCAGCCACACCTCTGCAGCGTCTGCCATCTTCATCTGCTCTCATCAGCTCTGAGAGGCCTGGAAGATTGTCACCCTCCCCACGGGATCCAGCCCTCCCCCTCCCCTCCCCCCGCCCCAGCCCCCACAACTGCACTCAACAGCTCAGGAAAGGGAAGTGCGTGTCTTGGCCACCCGGCCTGTGCAGGGAGAACCAGAACCCTAACTGGACAGAGAGTGGACTCCTGGAGGGGTGGGGCTGGAGTAGGGGAGGGAGGCCGGGCAGTCACAGCACAGGGGGCAGCAGAGGCGGAGGCCTGGTCCTAGCTGTCCCTAGTGCCCGCTGCTTCCTGGGCCCCGTCCTCAGGGACAGCGGGGGAGATCAGGGAGGGGCTGCCCCCGTTCCTGTGAGGCCGCAGATGAGGAACCCGTGACGTCTCCCCACTCATCTCCAGCCGGACTCTGGGCCTGCGCCCCTCACAGCTGCTCTGCTCCACAGGGACCATGGGCGGCGGGGCCCAGACCCCAGCCCTCACTGCCCTCCTCTGCCTGGGTGAGCTGGGGACACGGGGACAATGGGACCCCTACAGGTGCAGGAGGGGACAGCGCCCTGCCCCAGCTGGGACCCCAGGGCTCAGAGGACCAGGGCAGGCCTGGGCATCTCTGCAGGGGTGGGGAGTGGGGAGCAGCTCTCACGGGGACTTCTCTTCCAGGGCTGTGCCGGGTGCCAGGGGATGGGGCACAGGCGGGTGAGTCCTCCCCTGACCTGGCTCAGCCCCGGGGGCTCCAGACAGCTCATGTTAAGGAGCCCAGGGGGGCTGGGCTGATGGTGATGGCTGGGAGGGGCTGGGAGTGGAGCTGGGGAATGGGGTGGGAGAGAGGCTGCACCCGGGGTCTGCAACTTTGATTCCTTTCCAGGGACCCTCCCCAAGCCCTCCATCTGGGCCGACCCAGGCCCCCTGGTCGCCGTAGGAAGCCCTGTGACCCTCTGGTGCCAGGGGTCTCTGCAGGCTGAGGTCTATCATATGTATACAGAGAGCGGCCGTCATCCCTGGGAAACGAGGCCCCAGCAGGACTCCAGACACAAGGCCAGCTTCTCCGTGATCACGTCCATGAGCTCCCATGACACAGGGCAGTACTGTTGTGTGTATTGGACCTCGCTCGGCCACTCCCAGCCCAGTGAACCCCTGACCCTGGTGGTGACGGGTAAGGTTTTTCCCCTGCCCACAGAAGAAGAAACATGGACTTCACGGAGCAGCAGCCCCCAGACATTGGTTTGCTTCCCCTGCAGGGATGTTCCCGGCGCCCTCCCTGTCGGCCCAGCCAAGCCCCGTGGTGGCGTCAGGAGAGAACGTGTCCCTCTCCTGTGGCTCAGATGAGGCGGGCACTGCCCACCTGCTGAAGGAGGGTGGAGCCGGCCCCCTGCACAGCCTGGAAGCCAGATACTCCCATGGGGCTGGGCTGTGGCAGGCCACCTTCCTCCTGGGCCCCGTGGACAGCACCCAAAGGGGCATCTACAGGTGCTACCGTGCTGACACCAACAAGACCCGTGTGTGGTCACTGCCCAGTGACCCCCTGCAGCTGGAGGTGTCAGGTGAGGGCCCCAGCCCTGTCTCATCAGTCCTCATGGTCAGTGCAGGGCTGTCCCCACAGGAGGACTGGGCTGGGGGAGGGGACCTGGGGGAGGTCACAGGGAGTGAGAAACAGCAGAGGTCTCAGCCCTGGGGCCCGGGTCACCCTGTGTGGCACAGGGTTTGTGTGGGAAGTGGAGTGGATGGAACAGGGGTGCTGGTGTTGGGAAGGGAACTGGGCTGGGTGCACAGGCCTCTCACAAAGCCCACGCTGGGCGAGGGGACTCCCTAGGCACAAAGATGTGCAGTCTGGGCTCAGGCTGCTGCGGGGAGGTGGGGTCCTGTGTTACTGGGGCTGGCCAGCCTAGGTGACCCCTCCGTGCACACCCCCAGCCCCAGCGCCCCAGGACCACACCCTGGAGAACCTCATCCGCATGGGCGTGGCGGGCTTGGTCCTGCTGGGCCTTGGGCTTCTGCTGGCGGAGGCTTGGTACAGCCAGAGAAGGACCCGGGCTGCAGGCCGGCGGTGACCTGGAGAGAGGACAGCGCTGGGTCAGAGAGGACGAGCCCTGGGGGCGGGGCAGGGGGGAGCGTGAGCACAGTGGGGAACAGTCTTCCAGCATTCGGTTGCGGGAACTGTCTGGGGGCAGCAGGGGCTCTTCCTCTATTCAGCCATGGACTTCTCCTGCCCTGAGGTGCGAGAGCGCCCCCTGCAGACCAAATGTGCGCCTCGCGCTTAGCTCTTTCTTCATGGAGCCTTTTGCTCTGTTTCTGGTGAATTCAGTTCCCAGTGCGCATGTGTGGGAATCCGCGTTTCAGCCAACAACAGGGAGCTTGCGCCAAGTAACAGAATAAACGAGCGAAATAGATTTCAGGGTGGGCGGGGTCAATCCATCTGGGGAGTGAACCAGCAGATGGAAGACTTTCTCTCTCTCTCTCTCTCTCTCTCACTCTCGGTCTGTATCTAGCTCTGTAACTCTTTCAAATAAATAAAATATATGTTTTTAAAAAGTTAATGGTGTACAACATTGGTAATGTACTACAAGTCAGCAAATAATACACTTTAAAGGGCTGGTTTAATGTTATTTGAATTTCAGCACAATAAAGAAGGAAACATGGTTCCTTGGAATTACCATCCAATCCAACAATTCCTCTCCTGCATATAACCACAGGGATTGAAGCAGGAACCCAAGAAGGTTTTTGCATCCACGGGTTCATAGCAGCCTCATTCACATGAGCCCAAAGATGCCAGCAACCAGAATATGCAGACCAGATGAGTGCGTCCACAACAGGCAGTATTTGTAGACACGGCTGATACTCTCCTGTTAGAAAAGAAGGAGGGTCTGGATAATCGTGGAGAAATCAGCCGGTGTCACAAAGAGACCATGGTCTGATTCTGCTCTGAGAGGTGCCCGGGGGTGCAGATTCAGAGGGCAGAACGTGGACTCGGGCGTGGGGAGGGAGCGTGCAGGCTCCTGCTGAGTGGGTCTGGGGTTTCTGTCTCTGTTAATGAAGATGTTTGTGACAGGTGCTGGTGGGTACACGACACAGTGAACATGAGAGGCAGCTACAGCATAAATTAAATTTCTGTCAGGTCTGTAATCTGTGCTCTGTGAATTTCAGCTCGACAAAGGAGGAAGACACAGACACCATTTTTGCCACCTATTTTTTCCTTTAAATGAACACGTAATAATTTGGAAGGTGCAGCGTAGTATTTGAGGGTGTGCTGATCACACCAGGGCGTTCCCATCTCGTCTTGTCTTGTGTTTGGGCCCCAGCTCCTCTCCTCGAGTTCTTTATAGAAACACTCAACAGGTTATGTGAGCCATGGGTGCCTCCTGTGCTGTGCAGACAGAGCTGTTCCTCTATCTGACTCCACCTTGGGACCCGGGGACCAAACCTCCCTCATCTCTCCCCTCAGACCCTTTTCAGCGATAGTGGTCACCATCCTACTCTGCTACTATAAGACCAACTTTTCCAACTTCTGCGTGGAAGAGAGAACTTACACTGGATTCCTGGGAAGACGTATTTCACTAAATGAGCGTGGCTGCTGTGGATCTGGGGCACCTGGTTCCCAAGGGAGCGTCCTCCTTCTTCCCTGGCACTTTCTGCGTGGAAGGAAGTCTACATGCAACGGACACCTGAGAAGTAGAGCGCAACGCACCTGCTCCGGCCGTGCCTCCACTGTAGCTCTAAACCAAGGTCAGCCTAGCCCGTGTATCGAAGGGGGCATCTGGGACCCCTGCTTTCTGGAGGAGCCCGTCTGTGGTTTCTGGAAGAGAAGTGCAGGGTCTCTGAGTTTCTGGAAGAGGGTGTGCAGGGCTTCCAGAAGAGCGCTCTGGATTCCTGGGTCTACGGAAGAGCGGCCTGGGGTCTCCGGACACGAGCCCGAGATTCCCGGGTTCCTGGAAGAGCACATTTGAACACTGTAGGTCTCCTTAAGAGGGGGCTGGGGTCTCCGGACTCGCGCCCGAGGTTCCCAGGTTTCCGGAAGAGCCCGTCTGGCATTTCCGGTCCGTCCACCATTAACCTTCTCTCTACCCGGCAGCTCCTCCTTCAGCCCCACCTGGCCCCTCGAACCCTTGGTACCACGCCCGCTTCCTGGTTTACTTCTCGACGGTGCCAACTCCCTGAGCGCGTGGGTGGCTCTTTGGCTCACCTGTCCGCAACAGTGTGGGACAGAGAGGGGATCCTGGGGCCCAGACCCCCACCGCTCCCTACTCCTAGCGCAGGTCAGGCACAGGGGAGGAGCTACGGGAGAGGAGACCCTTAGACACCTGCCCGCCCGCGTTCCTGCAGCGCAGCTCACATCGCTGTCATCATCAACCGAGGCAAATGGGGCCCGAAGCAAGGCGTCCCACAGTGGAATAAGACTCGGCCATAGAAGAGTGAAACCCGGATGTTTTCAGGAAACCGAGGCACTGCGGATACTGTGGAAGTGAAACAAGCCAGGCACAGAGGAGAACGTACGTGGGAAGTCATTCAGGTGTGTGCTGTGAGGGACTTGGGGAGCAGAGTGGTGGTCACCAGGGGAGGGCGTGGGTGCTGGGATCCACAGTTCAGAGTGCAGAGATACAGAATCACGTGGGAGAAGAAAGTCTAGAGGTGTAGTGTGTGTCATGGCGACTGTAGTTAATAACGCTCACGGCATGGGCAGCTGAAATTGCTTAAAACTGTGTCAGATGCTCCCACCACACAATAAGTCTGTGAGGTAATGCACACGTTATCTAGCTTGGGTTAGCTCTTCCACATGTGTGTGCGTGTGTGTGTTGTGTGTTTGTGTGTTTGATGTTTACATGACAATTATACAGAAATACAACTTTTGAATATCAAAGCAACGATTTCTTTAAAAGGAGAAAGTTTGTTGACCTCTCCTCTCCTCTTTCAGGCTCCTGTGACAAGCCCTGCCTGTTGTGGATCAGGTTCTGGGGTTAGTCAGGACAGAACATTTCCCTGCCATGTTCTTCCTCCTCCAGCATCCTCTTGATAAAGTCCCAGTGAGTCCGGGGTGAAATGGCTCCCTGCCACAGCGCTGATGCAAGGGGTCCCGAGGAACCTTGGCTCTGGTCTTGGGAACCGCAACATCTCTGCGGTCGCCACCTGTGGTAGAATGAGAAGGCCATACCAAGATGGCCACACGCAAGTGAGCCTCAGTTACTCAGAAATGGCTTCGGAAGCCCCCTTGGAAGCCACCTGGAAATGGAGTCTGCCTGGCAACAGGATGTGATTGGTTAGGGCATAAACTGCCCCGTTGACTGGATTGGCTGCCTCGGCTATATAAGCTGCTGTACCAACTGAAATAAACGAGTCTGTGGGCTGCTCGCCTCTGGCCTGCTTTCACCTGACTCCTGGGGTCTGTGTGGTAACTCTGTGCCTCTTGCCCCCACCACGCTCCTCCTCTTAGAACAAATCCACAGCAACAGCCACCGTGGCAGCCACCAGTGGTGCCCTGGAGCTCATGGTCACAGGTAGGTGCCTCTCAGCCCCTCTGTGTCCTTGGCAGAGGCTCACAGCTGGCTGTGCAGGGCCCTGTCCACAGCAGGGGTGTGCAGAGCAGCGTAGGAATGCAGCAGAGGGCACCTGGACTCAGGCAAGGATGCAACAAGAATGGCTTCTTGCCCCCTCACAAACTCAGCTCACGTCTGTTGCTGTGGATTCGATTCTGGGAGGAGGAGCGTGGTGGGGGCAAGAGGCGTGGAGTCACCACACAGACCCCGGGAGTCGGGTGAAAGCAGGCCAGAGGCGAGCAGCCTGCAGACTCATTTATTTCAGTGGCTACAGCTTATATAGCCAAGGCAGCCAATCCAGTCAAGGGGCGGTCTATGCCCTAACCAATCACAGCCTGTTGCCAGGCAGTTTCTGAAGCCATCCAATCACAGCCTGTTGCCAGGCAGTTTCCAAAGCCATCCAATCACAGCCTGTTGCCAGACAGTTTCTTTCGCCAGCGGCCATCTTGGCATGGCCTTCTCATTCCAGCACACGTCCTCTGCCGTCCCCAGGAGGTCAGCTGAGCCAGTTGGGCTTGGGAACAGCAGCAACCACAAGCTGTGCACACACTGGAACAGGGTCGATTCCCAGTAAGCAAGGTGAGAGCTGATGTTTGTGTGTCACAGCATGTCCACACGGCCCGGGATAGCCTTCTTTCATTTCGTCTCAGACACACAGAAATGTGAAAACACGCTCAGACCATGGGCCATCCACAGAGAGGCCATAGACTGCCTGTGGTCCTTGGGCCATGATGTGCTGACCTCTGCTGGGCACAGAGCTGCGTGAGAGGAAGTGCTGGCTCAGGCCGTGCACAGGACTGCTGTGCCCATCAACACACTCACACGCATGCACACACATGCAGCACAGACACACATGCACATACATGCATTTACACATGCACACATACACATGCAGACACATAAACACATGTAACAAGCATGCACACATGTGCAGACACACACATCCATGCACAGAGACACGGACACAGAAATACCTGCGTGCACACACATGCACACACAAGCACAGATTGCGCACACAGAACAGAGACGCATACACACATGCACACCCAGACCCACTCATACACACATGCAAACAGACATGCATGCAAACAAATGCAGACATACATGCACACATGCACATGTGTATACACACAATGCAGATACATACACGAATATACAGAGAAATACACACATGCACACAGATGCAGACACATACACACACCTGCACACTGGGAAACACATATACATAAATGCACACAGACATACAAATGTGCACACACAGTGCACACACATCAACAAGACACATTAGAAACAATTCCATATAGCTGGTCTCAAGGGCACAGAAATAAAGCAGCCAGTGGTGGAGACGAAAGCTTAGTTGAGAGCCTTCTGGCTCGAGTGGGAGTGGGCGGGTACTCGGCAGACTCTGCCCAGGAGGTGGGCCCTGATGGGGTTTACCACCTCCCAGAAAACAGAGACCCTGCCCCAAGTCCCTGAGGAGGGGCTTTGAACCAAGGTCTCCACAGAAAAAGAGAGTGGGTGCTGTAGAGAGAAAGCAGTCAGGACCCTCGGCCCTCAGAGAAAAGCTCCGGTCACCACCCCAGCCGGCCACTGCAGGGAGCCTGCACCTGCAGATCTGGAAGCAAAGTACTGAAAACCCAACACCCCCGGCCTTCACGAGAGCATGAAGCTGAGTCTGACCTAGTGGGGTGGGAACATGCACACCCACAGTGTCTGCCAGAGAGCTGCCCCCTGCTGGGCACCCAACCCCTGGGGGACTGAGAGACCACAGAAAGGCACAGGGCCCCTCCACGGGGAGCAGAACCCCTGCAGCTGAACCCTCAGTGAGAACAACCGGCCTCAGGAGGAAGCAAAGGCCCCACGATGCAAGGCCGGGTTCAATTCGGCTGCACGTCTGGGCTCCACTCCTTGCTCATGCAGGTCCTGGGGCCATGGTCTCCGGCTGGGCAGCTGGGTTCCTGCCTCCCATGTGGGGGGTGTGGATAAAGCTCATGGCCCCTGGCATTGGCCCTGGTTCACCCCAGCCATCAGAGCATTCTGGGAGTGACACAATGGATGGAGCTGGCTCACTCACTCTCTCTCTGCCTCTCACATTTTCAGAATTTAAAAATAA